GTTGCGTGCATTTCTACATACGTATACACGTTTCCATTATCTCTTGGAAAACTCAGCTGAGGAGAGCGAACATATGTTCCTACTCCAACACAACTGCTATAAGGAGGAAACTCACATCTTGTTTTCATAGGCTGCGGATTCGACTCTGTGGTGTGCGTTGAAGCTTGCTACTAGAGGGGCGATCCTAGTGGGGGATCAATACCAACTGCCACCTGTTGTGAAAGACAGGTATAGTTATGGAGTTACTTCTGATAGGGTTCGGGTTTTCGGGCTCGGGTTTTCGGGTTTTATGACCGACCTGAACATTGTCGCTGTATAGATAAAACGTCGATGGAATGCTCATTGGTGAAATTGCAGTGCGTGTCGATTCAGTATGTAATGTGGAAAAATGTTCGTTTTCTATTCCGGGATTAATGATAGTGAACAACTTGTCGCTATCACAGTCCCAAACGGTTACTCTTATCACATCACTTGTTCGTTTTCTATTCCGAGATTAATGATAGTGAACAACTTGTCGCTATCACAGTCCCAAACGGTTACTCTTATCACATCACATGTTCGTTTTCTATTCCGAGATTAATGATAGTGAACAACTTGTCGCTATCACAGTCCCAAACGGTTACTTTTATCACATCACATGTTCGTTTTCTATTCCGAGATTAATGATAGTGAACAACTTGTCGCTATCACAGTCCCAAACGGTTACTCTTATCACATGTTCATAGCAATGTTTACATTGTTTACGCGATATTGGGTTAGATCGATTCGCATTAATTCCTAGAAAAATAACGCACATTGTTGTCCCAGAGTTGGAACTAGTCTTGTTCGGGATTCTGAGATAGGCACGAGTGAAGTTCACATATCAACTAAGAAAGATACAATTGATTTCGAAATAAATGAACTTGCATAGCTTCACGCTTTTCTACACGAGCTGTCGGAGACTAATGAGATGATTTTGTCACTCGCCAGGAAATTCCACGACGTTGTTCACGACGGTGTTTGATATTTCCAATTCAGGAAGTGTCGTGAGGAGGGTATGTCGGAGACATTCTTCGCACGTTGTGCCCGGGATGTGGCTTCGATAGAGCTGACGGCCCAGTATAGAATGTGTCGGGGTATTCAGCGCTTTGTCAATGAACTATTTTATGAGGGAAAGTTGAAGTGTGGCAGTCGAGAAATTGAAAATGCCAAGATGCCGGTGAGTGTTGGGCTTTGATTTAGTTGTGCCCGTGTTGACTAATACGTGATCTAATATGAGATGATGATAATGGCAGTAGTATGCACTTAGCTAGTTCATTATGAGCGTGGTTCATGCACCTCGTCGTCGTTGCTTCTAGTATTGAACATTGTGGGAAAATGTACATTGTCAACTATGTACATGTATTGGTGGCAATAGGTTCTGGTGGAATTTCGGGAATTTTTTATT